TCTTCTTCTTCTTCTTCTTCTTCTTCTTCTTCTTCAAGAATACCCTTCACCATTTCATATAATACTGGTTTGGTGGTGATGAACACCTTTAGCTTTCTCTTGTTGTGAAGCTCTTTAACTGACCTTCAATTCTAAGTGATAGCTTTGCTAGGTAGAATATTCTTGGTTGTAGGTTCTTGCTATTCATCACTTAGAATATTTCTTGCCACTCTCTTCTGGCCTGCATAGTTTCTATTGAGAAATCAGCTGACAGTCGTAAGGATACTCCCTTTGTAGGTAACGAACTGCTTTTTGCTTGCTGCTTTTAAGATTCTCTTTTTGTCCTTTGTCCTTGGCATTTTTAATTATGATGTGTCTTGGTGTGGTCCTCTTTGGATTCCTCTTGTTTGGGGTTCTCTGTGCTTCCTGGACTTGTAAGTCAATTTCTTTCACCAGGTAGGGGAAGTTTTCTGTCATTATTTCTTCAAATAGGTTTTCAATATCTTGCTCACTCTCTTCCTCTGGCACCCCCAAAATTCAGATGTTGGTACGCTTGAAATTGTCCCAGAGGCTCCTTACACTATCTTCATATATTTGGATTCTTTTTTCATTTTGCTCTTCCAGTTGGGTGTTTTTTGCTTCCTCATATTTCAAATCATTGACTTGATTCTTGGGATCCTCTAGTCTACTGTTGAATCCCTGTATATTATTCTTTATTTCAGTCAGTGTATGCTTAATTTCTGACTGGTCCTTTTCCATTTTTTGGGCATTCTCACTAAGATCCTTGAAGGGCTCACTAAGTTCCTCAGAGGTTTCTAGAATATTCTTTTTTTAAAAAATATATTTTATTGATTTTTTACAGAGAGGAAGAGAGAGAGATAGAGAGTTAGAAACATCGATGAGAGAGAAACATCGATCAGCCGCCTCCTGCACATCTCCCACTGGGGATGTGCCCGCAACCCAGGTACATGCCCCTGACCGGAATCGAACCCGGGACCCTTCAGTCCGCAGGCCGACACTCTATCCACTGAGCCAAACCGGTTTCGGCAAGAATATTCTTGAGTAACATTATAACTGTGGTTTTGAACTCTATATCCAGTAGTTTGCTTTCTTCCATTTCTTTTATTTGTGCCATGTTTCTTTGTCTCCACATTTTGGCTGTTTCCCTGTGTTTGTTTATATATCTTGGGTAACTGCTAAGTCTCCTTGAGTTGATACAGTGGCCTTGTGTAATAGGTGTCCTATAGGGCCCAGTGGCTCAGCCTCCCCAATCACTGAGGTGGACACTCTTGGTGCACCCCTTTGTGGGCTGTGTGCACAGTCTTGTTGTAGTTGAGCCTTGATTGCTATTGGTGTCACTGGGAGGAATCGACCTCCAGGCTAACTGGCTGTGGGGACCAGATGCGACTACAGTGGGAGAGCTGCTATGCAGGAAACACCCTAATGGGGCAGGACTTACTTCAGTAGGACGTTAGTGCTCACTGAGTCTGCCCCTTGAGTGGGTCACTTACGGATGTGAAGAGTTGTAATCTGGTATGGTCTCACACTAACCACTGGGTACACTGGCTCTTGGATCTCCAAGGAGGTGCAAAGTTAGCCACTTCCTGGGGCCACCCAGCAGGAGCTACAGAGAGATCTGCAGATTCCTCCTCTTTGTATCGGATTTGGAAGTACCCAGACAAGGCCCAGCTGTGAAGCAAGACAGGCTGGTGCTGATGCCAGCCTTGGGCCTTTTATTGATAGCTTTGGTGCACCCTGACCCAGCTGCAACTTGTTTGACAGGTTTTAGGCTGAGAAAGGACGGGCCAAAAGCCGCTGCCCACAGCTTGGGTGGGCTTGTAAATTGGGTGATTGGGTGGGGCGGGGTCTCAGGGAATCTCCAAGGTAGAGTGAACAGAAATGTCTGCCAGCCAGCCCTGCACTGGGGAGGTCCAAGCACAGGAACAATGACCACTGGGGCACTTCCATCTGGAAGAAAGCCACCCCCGCTTTCCTCCCCCAATGCCAGACAGTCCAGTTTCTCCCTGTATCTGTCTGGGTCCCTCAGAGCCTCACCCAGCTCTGGATCTCAGAGCAAGTAGGAGCTTATAAATTCAGTTTGAGGTGCCAGCCTTTTAAGAGGAGCAGCTGAGTCTCTAGCAGCCTGTGTGTTACTCAGCCCCAATCCGCACTTGTTTTTACAGTCCGTAGTTCTTATTGCCTGTAGGGACTTCTTTCTGCAGCTCTGGAACCCTGGGCTGGGGGTCTGTTGTGGGGCTGGGACTCCTTGCTCCTCCTGGTGGCCTCTGCAGAGGTGATCTCCCTCCCGATTAGAAAAGTGACCCACGTGGGTGCTGGACCAGCCCATTCTGTGACTCTGCACCTCCTACCAGTCTTAGTGTGCTTTCTTCTTTACCTCTCTAGTTGTAGTACTTCCACTCAGTCAGCTTTCCCGAGGTTCTGGATGGTAGTTGTTCTGTATTTTAGTTGTAATTTTGATGTGGTTGTGGGAGGCAGCAAGTACAGGCATTTACCTATGCCGCCACCGTGGTTCCTCTCTCTGCTTCCCACATAATTTTCATATTCAACTTTTTGTATCAGATTTTCCTTTTTTTAAAGAAAGAATACTGTTGTCAAGATATTCTAACTGTGTAGAAATGAATAAAATCAGAAAAAGTGACATTTAAATTCCCCTCATTATTTTATGCTCTCCATGATTTGAAATACTACCTTGGAAAAATCATCTCTAGTAATAATCTCCTATCAATACTTATACAGAAACAACTACTGTAAGAATAACTATGAGGTTTTGTTTATTTTCTATTCAATACTATTATCTGCCAGTGACCAACTAAATTAGTTTAACAACATATACTAATAGACCTGAGTGGTAATATTCAAGGAAAGATGTACTAAGATGACCAGGAAAAATCTAGTATGATTTCTTTTCCTCTGAAACAGCCATCGCAATTAAGAATAGCTAATGACAACAAACATGGAGGCCTTCGGATAATTATGCATGCCTTGCCTTTGTAATAATACATATGTGACCTTGGTAACTGGCCACATTAAACAATAATCAATGGGCTGCCTTTGAAGATACATTTAAATAATACAAAATGTCTATAAACAAAGTAAGTGTAAGTTTTTTTAAAAGAGATAGGTCATCAACACTTTTACTATTAAGATCTATCTCCTTTTTCAGGGGTCCTCAAACTTTTTAAACAGGGGGCCAGTTCACTGTCCCTCAGACCGTTGGAGGGCCGGACTATAGTCAAAAAAAAAACTATGAACAAATTCCTATGCACACTGCACATATCTTATTTTGAAGTAAAAAAACAAAACGGGAACAAATACAATATTTGTATTTGCATGTGGCCTGTGGGCCGTAGTTTGAGGACCCCTGTTTTAGATTATGATTCTTAAAACCCCTATAGAGAATTCTGTAGGGTAGAACAATTTTTCAGAATCTCACATTCTTATCTGGAAGCATTAACTAAAAATGGATTAAAGATAATCATTTGGAAATTTGCAACTGGTTGCATCTTTTGTTCTTCTAGAGGCAGTGTGGTGCAATGATTAAAAACTGGGGCTCCATGAGGGCCTGGAGGGTAGAGGCAGGAGCAGGCTGGAAGAAGCTGATGGGGAGAAAGGAGGACCTTTTTCCTTTATTGTTCAAAGGAGGACTTTCAACAATAAAGATTTTTTTAAATAAATAAAAATTTAAAAAAATAAATAAAAACACACTGTAAAATATAAATAAATAAATAAATAAATAAATAAATAAATAAATAAATAAAAAAACTGGGGCCCAAGAGTCAGAGACTCATGCTTATAGTAACAGCACCTACCTTATATATGTCAGAATTAAATGAGTAAATATATAGAATGTTAAGTACTTACCACAGTGCCTGTAGCAATATGTGCCTTTAATAAACATTTGCCACAAATATTATAAAGCATATTATTTAAACAAGATACATGGGGCACTTTTTAGGCAGGAAAACATATGGAGGAAAAATGCATCATAAAAATAGACCACACTTGACTCATAGACACAGGTGTGAAAACCTACAAAACCATATTTATTTTTACATTATTGAAAAAAATCCACTTTTGTTTACCTGCTAAGAAATAGGTTTAAAATGCTCTCTATGTCTAGCAACATTTAATGATTAGTGCAAAAGCACAAAGATATCTTAGAGAATATATTTTCCAAGTACTCGGTAACTATGATTTTTCTAGCTTATACATAAAACATTCAATGCCCCCAAATTAAATCCAAGAATAAACATATTTTGCCTTCATTTCAAAAGGCAGGTAGAGTGGCTGGAATTTACCAGGCACAAGGCATCATTAATTACAACTCTTCTGCATGTCAGTGTACATAACGTCTCATAATCAGGTTGAATCCCTGTGCTTGGCCAGTGGAGGAAGTGCCCTCTTGCTCTCTCCACATTCCTATCTTTTCTGTCTAATCTTATTCAAATACTCATAAATAATGGTGATGCCACTTTAAAAAAGCACAACGAAGTTCTACCAGACATAAATTGTTTTTAAAATTGCAATGATTGGGCTGGGGATCTAAAGGAAACTTTAGAAGTAAAGTAAAGAAGAAATGCCAATGAGCCAGATGTGATTTGTAAAGAGGGCTCTTTTCTGTACAACTTCTTCAAAGTAAATTATATCATGTCAAATATACTGGAAATTTAGCATTTACTGAAGACATTTTTAATATCATAATTCACTGGTAAAAATTACAGCTTGTTTTTGCTCAGTCAAAATCCTACTTACCTCTGCTAAAATCTTTGCATCACTATATTATCAAAACATATCTCTTGTAAATGTGTATATGTAATATTTGTAAGCAGAAATTCATTTAATAATTATAATGATTGGTTTTAATCATTTTAATGGAATGTAGTACACATTTATAATGTCTCTCCACATAGAATTCTATATATCTAAAGAAAACTACATCCAATCCAAGTCATTTAGTGAATGAGACAAGGTATAAATCAATAAATTAAACAATCTCTTACCAGAATAAAATGATCCTAACATTTCCTTTCTTCCAGAAAGCTCTTGCGGATTTCCCCCAATCAGGATAGGGTTTGTCCTGAAGCATCATATCAGTGACCTGAAGCAATCAAAGAAACTTATTTAGCACTGTCAGAAATTTACATTCAGGGGTAAGTATGTAAATAATTTACATTTTATTGAAAATAAAATATGTATGTATTTTAACACTAGAACATATGCAAAGATAAAAAATAGAAGAATATACTTCTTTTACTTAAAAACTTTAATAGTTCATATTCTTTATATAATAAATGAGCATATTTAAGGTCATTCAACATGTCAAATATTGACATTATTTTTTAAACATCAGTCAAGATTACCTTATAAAAGAAGGCATCATTAAGATATTAATAACCTCTCTATAGAAACAAAACATATAATAAAGTACCATATTCTTTCTAACTTAGCTAAACAGAAACTATTTCCAGTCAAAATATTATCTTTCCTTCTCTCCCTTTCATTCTTCAATGATTTGTGAAGTATGGTACCTAGACCCAGCTTTAAGGCACATTTATTCTAATTACCTAGCAAGTTTCCACCTCCATGTAATTAGCAATTCTATTCCTTCTTCAAAAAAATGTTCTACCTCTCCCACCTGCACAGATTGTGCCTGTCTTCAGAGGCCTATATACAGTCGTGTTACCATTGTGATGTCTTTATTTTTCCCCCCAACTACAGTTCTTGACCCTTTTCATGTTACATATCACTTTCCACCTTCTCCTTTTACTTACTTATGCACATTTTTCTCTCCACTAGGCTTTGAAATCCTTGAAGTCGAATATTTATCCATTGTATGCTTTCCTAACGATCTTTTATATAAAAGACTAAAATATTACTCAAAGAAAAAATGGCAAAAATGTATTAGGATATAAATGCTTGCTTTTAAAAAATGCGTTAACAAAGTAAATTGTCCATTGTCAACATCCCATATTAATAGTTTCAGCAAATGTCCAAAGAATAATATGTAGATGTCATAAAAAGCAGCTTTAAAAAAACTGGGGAGAATGAAAAATGAATTTCCTTCTTCTAATAAAGGAAACATGTTTGCATATGTGCACATACACACACACAAATAGTTTTTTTTCCTTTTCCCAGAAAATATACCTTCCATTTGAGAGAAGGGAACATTGTTTAATTAATTATGGTTTTATTTAATAATCTTCAAATCCAAAAAAATCAAGACAGAATCAATGCTAAGAATTTTGATAAAGAATGGAATAAACTCAATAGAGTAACAAAGAAGTTTCATTACCCATTAAAATATTTTTTTCTTTTGCCCTTAAAGCCTTAACATTACATTTAAATGTAACTTCCAACAATGGCCTAACCTGGAATGGGTGAGATTTAATAATTTGTGATGAGAGATGGTGATCCAGTGGGCCCTTCAATACTACTGGATTCCCTGCAGAAGGTGCATTGATTCTCAAGCAAGCCCATCTTGTGCAACACAACATCCTGGAAAAGTTCCTGGAAACTTTCACTGACATGCTAAAGCGGCACATGCTCACTGAGGATGCAATCAGAACAGTGAGTAAAGAGCCCAGTCCCTAGGGCACATGTGATCTTAATTTTTCTCTATATTCTTTCTCACGTCATTTCTAGGACTAGAATTCCCACGCCTCCCGTGGTTGGTAGGAATCAAAGCAAGTTCACTGATCTTCATTGAGCAACACTGCAGATCTATGCCAGCTCTGTCTGATTGAGAACCCACAGTAATTTTGTGTGATATGATTTCATTATTGAAAAGGCTCAACAATCATAACTGGTTTTAATTTAAACTCTCAATTTCTTAAAACTATTAATTACTTTGATAAGTGTACATGCAACTAATATTAAGAATTCAAAAAGAAAAAAACACTTGTTAACTTATTTTTAAAAGAAAACTTATTTTCTTCATGACTCATTAGAATTACAAGACTTTATTTTCTCACCCATGAATTGTATCTTCAATTAAAAAAAATGATATTTATCAAAATAAACAAAGGGAAGATGATAGAATAAAAATTAACCATGAATCAAGTGAGTTGTATTGTTACTAAAAAAGAATAAAGGTAAAAATAGAAAATTTATATCCCATATATTCTTGAGCATAAAACAAGTTTTATATCACAACTTCCCTGAGGAAAGAATCACTATTTTTCAAAATACAACAATTTTATCCGCTGCTCCTTTGTCACCTTCTTGAATAACAATCTTGTATCAGATTTTATTTTTACAAAACCTCAAGTTAAGCAAATAAATACTTAAATAAATATTTCATGTTTTGTCAGCTTTTAAAAAGATTTAATTAATTCTGTTCAACAATATTTATCTTGTTCTGGAAGGAGTATGCATAGTAACAGATATTTTCATGGAACAGCATGATTATTGGGTAAATTTTATTCAACTTGCAATGTTTTCTCCAGGGCACTTTCTGGGAAATAATTACTATATTTTCTAGAAGGAGGCAATCTGTTGCTATATGACTAATTATTACAACAGCATGTTTTGCAAAAATGCCATTCAAGGGTAAAAGATTTCTCAGTAAAATGGCAAGATGAGGACAAAATACATTTTTTCTGATGCCAGACAGCTGGTTCTTTTCACCCCCAGCTTCCACCTATTTATTTTAAGTCATATCATCAGATCAATGTCAGGGCACTTGCTAAATTGGCAAGGAGCAGAGACAGTCATTAAAGGGATGCATCCAATAAAGAAAAATCCAATTACCTGCTGCATTAGAGAAATCAAATTCATTTCTGGTGTTGGTCAAGGACAGTCTTTGTGAGAAAATATGCAGGAGAGTGAGGACTAAAAATGATGCGAAAAGGTTGCTGTGTAGCATAAATACAATGCAAAACGTGTTGATGCTTCTCCCATGGGAAGATTATTAGAATTTAAAACTGCAGGTCTTCCTAAGCTGGAAGAAGTTTGCTTAACTCTTTGAGTACCACAATCCTTCCCTTCTCCTTTCCTCTCTCTTGGGTCTTTGCACAAAACTCAGAACCTCATGATGCCCCTTCCCTCACTATGCCCTGTTAGGGAGTCTCTCTCAGTGGACATAAGCTATTTTATGGCATGGACATTGTTCAGTCAGAGCAAACACATGTGTGTTGAGATTGAAAAGCCAGTAAATGATTATCCCTACAGGAATCTAAGGGAAACCTTTGCTCCTCTATGAGCTGAGCTTACATGATGCTGTGGCAACTATGGCAGCATGAAGACAGCAGACAACAGTGATATTTTACGTCTGCTATGGAGCTTCATGGCTTACAAAGCTGATGGATGTACTTCTCTTAATAACTGACATGCTAACTTTATAAAGGGCGTCATTATTCTCCATCTTTCACCAACACAGAAAGAGAAGTCAGTGAGGTTTAATAGCCGAGCAGGTCACACACAGTGTACTGTTATGTGCATCCATCCTGCAGCCAGCCGGTCTGGGTCCTAATCCTAGTGTTATCTCTTACTACCTTTTGATTTGGGGCAAAGTAGTTCATCTCTCCTGTACCTCAGTTTCTTATGCATTATCTAGTGGCAGGTGTTATAATAATTATTTACATGTTGTGTATATCTGGAATTTCTAACCAATTGTTTTGCTTCATGTGACTATTGTGTTAAATAGCTGATTTGGAGTCCAAGGACTTGGCAATCATTCTCATCTCCTCTATAAAGACAAGACTATCACACTGGACTGTTAGAAAATGATAAATATATAGTATAATGTTCAAATGTGTTACAGTCAGATATTGCTGTTAAAAATCAAAGGGAGGGGAGGCCAGCCACCAAAGGTTGCAATAATCTCAGAAGGTTTCACAGAAGGCTTGTGTAACATAACTGAGCATTCATTTGCATCCTGTACTCTCCAATTTTGCCAGTCTAGTCTTAGCCTGATTATAAGCTACTCACATACAGATATACATATGCTGCACCTATAGTTTTATTTGATATAGTTTTATGTTAAGCATGTGATATTAAAATATTAATATTGAGGATATAAGGTCATAATATAACAACTATGGCTACATAGTTCACCTCTTAAGACAGCTATTATTTAGTGGAATATAATTTAAAGAAACAAGTACTATTCTATTGATAAACAATAATATATACATTAAGTATATTAATGAACAAACATATACATATAATCTTGCATGCTATTTTGCAACTTCTTTCCATTTAACAATATATCTTGAGCATCATCCTACATCACTACAAATAAAGCTATTTAAGTGGTTTCTTCTTTTTTATCTTCTACTATACCATTTGTGTGCATTTTTCCAAAATATAAAAGGTTTCTATTTTGTTCTAATTATTATCTTTATAATGGAACTTCATTTAATGTATGTATTTACTATGTCTTTAGATTTTACTCCCCATTATGAGCATTAACACAATTATTTAATTTCTGCTTCTCCCTCTGTCTTCTTCCCCCCAGCACCGTATTATACTTACTGTATTATTTTTCCTATTTTTCAACTCTTTGAATATCTAGATCCTTATTTTATTTATCATCTTTAAATGACACCACCTTTCCCTCATCTAAAAAAGATGAGACAATCAAAATATTATATTTTCTTACACCATATATCATTTCTATGTTGTTGGAGTTTTGGAGTATTTTTATATTTGGTCTATAACCAGAAGCCATGCATTTATTTTAACCTGAGCCCCACAATTAAATTGACTCAATTACCTTTCCCAGTACATTGGCTAAAGTTTTTCAACTACTTCCAACGCCTGAACTTTGTTCTGCAATATATTCTTCAGGAAGCTTCACTAGAACAATGTGACTGATAACCAAACTGTCTATTTTCTGTATCTTTGACTAATAATCAGGCTGAGTGTAAAATTTTTGAGGCCCCTTTTTCCCCTTAGCACTGAAGGCATTGCTTCACTTAACACTACTGAGTGATATCAAGGAGGAATCTGAGAAAACTGGAATCTGGACTTTTTTTTTCCATCTTTACAGGTAAATTATTGTTGTTGTTTTTTTGCTTTTATTGTTTTGTTTTATTTTCTGGGGTGCTGCAGTATTTGCTTTTTATTTTGAATGTAATAATTTTGCTAAGTTTATCT